ACTATTTTAGGTAGTTAATTATTCCTGCATTTGTAATTTTGTACACACACTTGGCGTAAATATCAAATTATTATAGCTTCTCTAAAAAGTTAATTAAAGTTTTCCAAATAATTTTGCTCACCACTGTATATACAGCATATATATATATATTATAATAATGCAAAATAATATTTTTTATTTTATTTTAAAGCATCTGTTTGCTAAGTCATAAAGCTTATAGTAGTTATTCTAAACCTAAATATATAAATATTAAAGAATAGTAATAATAAAGTGAATAGTTAATAACATAAATCCTATATAACATAAATCCTATAAATATATAAATCCTATAAATGTATAATAATCATATTTAAAATCATAAATGCATAATACTATAAACGTTATTGATTTAAGTGTTGAAACAATTTTCTGTATATTTGGTCGTTCATTTGGTTCATATTTCCAGCATTCTGATTAATTATCTTTTCATTATTTCTCATTAGATCTTCGGTACTGTACATCAATTATGTTTATTTTGTATATGTTTTACCATTTGAGAGGCGCCTTTAATACTTGCATTACAGTAAGGGCATTCTTCTTCATCTTCTTCTTCGCTACTATCATCTTCATAATTTATTTCCTAAAAAATAGTGAAATTTTAAAAATGAGATATTTAACAACTACTATTATAACATATAATATATTTATTACCTGAGCAATGATATCATCAATAGGCCACAATTCTAAAGTAAAACCTGGTAAATGTTTACCACCTTCCAAATAAACCCATGGCCGCTTTCTACGATAAGGTTCACCATTCTTATTTCTTTTGTAAACCTGGATAATGCGATTCAATGGATCAATTAACCATCCTAACTCCACAGAAGTACCAATTGCAAAATATTCCTTCTTAAATTTAGTATCAATTTCTTTATCTACTTCTTTTTTCTTGAGATTTGCAACTTCAACAACAAAAAAAGGGGTAAAGGGTTGCCCATTAAAAGACCAAAGTTGTTCTTCATCAAGTGAACGATAAATATTGGCAGGTGTAAAAGTAACGTTTGGTGCTCGAAT